GTAGGAGGAAGTGAGGAAAGGTTTTCCCCAGGCAAAAAGAACAGAATATACAGAGAATTAGAGATGTGACCAGTGATTTGTGAGTGGCTCCTTATAGCTGAAGTGCAGACTACAGGAAATGACCAGAAATATTACTAGAGAAATTAGCAGCAGCCATGTGAGGTCTAAAGTGTTATACAAAGGAAGTAGGTCTTGTCCTCAGAACATTGGGAATTGCATTTATAGGTGTTTTTTGGTTTGTAATATATTTTATTGATTTTTCACAGAGAGGAAGGGAGAGGGAGAGGTATAGAGAGTTAGAAACATCGATCAGCTGCCTCCTGCACACCCCCCACTGGGGATGTGCCCTCAACCAAGGTACATGCCCTTGACTGGAATCGAACCCGGGGCCCTTCAGTCCGCAGGCTGACGCTCTATCCACTGAGCCAAACCGGCCAGGGCTGCATTTATAGGTTTTAATGTCATGATCAGATACCTTTTAGAAGCAGCACTCGAGCTGTGTAAGAATTATTGGATTACTCATGGGCCCAGATAGGAGACTGTTTTGTAATCCAGGAGAGAGAGGATAGTGGCCTGAACTAAGATAATGAGTAGAGAGAAATTTCTGGCTTTTGAGCTATTAAAAAGAATTTTTAAAACTTCCTGCAGTTAAGAGTATAGATTCTGTAATCAGCACCACTCCCCACCCCCCAGTACAAATCTTTTTTTTTTGCTACTTACTAACCATATAATTGTGGGCACATTATTTAACTATGCCAAATTTTACTCATCTGTAATAACAAAGCTACTTCATAGGGGTCTGGTGAAGATTAAATGAATACTGATAAAACCCTTAGAATAATACTTGGCATATAATGACTCAAAAACGATTTGCTTTAAAAAAATTAATGCTGCCGAGGCCGGTTTGGCTCAGTGGGTAGAGCATCGGCCTGCGGACTGAGAGGTCCTGGGTTCGATTCCGATCAAGGGCATGTGCCTGGGTTGCGGGCACATCCCTAGTGGGAGATGTACAGGAGGCAGCTGATCGATGTCTCTCTCTCATCGATGTTTCTAACTATCTCTCTCCCTTCCTCTCTGTAAAAAAATCAATAAAAAATATATTTTAAAAAAAATGCTTAGCTCTAGTTGGTGTGGCTCCGTGGATAGAGAATTGACCTGTGGAATGAAGGGTCCAGGTTCGATTCCGATCAAGGGGACATGCCCGGGTTGCGGGCTTGATCCCCAGTAAGGGGTGTGCAGGAAGCAGCCGATCAATGATTCTCATCATTGATGTTTCTATCTCCCTTCCTCTCTGAAATCAATAAAAATATATTTTTTAAAAACTGATTAAATGCAGTAGGTAGGGGAAAAGGAAGAATGAAAGGTAACGTCTAGTGCTCAGGTTTGAACAACTGGGTGAATGTGATTCTTTTTTTTTTTTTTTAAATATATTTTATTGATTTTTTACAGAGAGGAAAGGAGAGAGATAGAGATAGAGAGTTAGAAACATCGATGAGAGAGAAACATCGATCAGCTGCCTCCTGCACATCCCCCACTGGGGAAGTGCGCGCAACCCAGGTACATGCCCTTGACCGGAATCGAACCTGGGACCTTTCAGTCCGCAGGCCGACGCTCTATCCACTGAGCCAAACCGGTTTCGGCCTGTGATTCTTTATTTTGAAATAAACAGTTTTGGTGGCGTCATTGGTAAGCCTTTGGTATTTGAAGCCATTGGAGACTGAGATCACCCAGGAAGTGCCCATAAAGTGAGAAGGTGGCTCAGGACAGACCACTGCCTATTAGGCAGTAGATAGAGCTCAGGAGAGAATTGAGCTCTGAGTGTACATATCCAAAGGTCATGCCCTTTCTATTAGACCACAAGCAGCTTCTATAATTTTTCTACATTTGTGTGAGTCACAAAAATTTATTCAGCAAGTATTTGATCTCCTACTCTGTCAAGCATTAGGTATATGCAGTAAGACAGCTGGTCCTTACATTGTTAAGGTGGGCAATACAGATTGCTAAGTGCTATCTATGATAGCTGCAGAATACATCTCTGTGTTCAGGAGCACCAAACCCACACATGGGGTAGAGAGGGGGAAGACTTTTTGAAAAAAGTAATGTCCAAACTAGGTTTTTAGCTAAGTAATAGCTCAAGGTTCCAGGAAGGCACCTTGAACTTCCTTGGAGGGAAACTGAGAGAAGGGGCAACACATTTCAGTAGTAGTATCTGTGCTTAGCTCATGAACATGCCAGCCTGCGTGAGATAACCAAGTGTTTGGGTTTCCCTCCAGGTGAGGTAGTCCCAGCCCATTGCTGTATCCTGTCTGCCTGCAGCCCCTTCTTCACAAAGCGCCTGGAGCAGGAGAGGCCAGCTCAGGGTTGTAAGGTGGTGCTGGAGCTGGGGGGCCTGAAGATCACAACACTTAGGAAGCTGGTGGACTTCCTGTATACCTCAGAAATGGAAGTATCTCTGGAAGAAGCCCAAGATGTGCTTTCTGCTGCCCGTCAGCTCTGCATATCTGAGCTAGAATCCCTTCAGCTAGAAGGTGGGAAGTTAGTAAAGGCCCCTCAGGGCCGAAGACTGAACCGGGAGTGCTTACAACCTCCAAGTGCTGCACCAATCTCTGCCAGGGTGGTGGCATCCAGCCGCTGCCCTACTCCACTGCCTGTTACCCAGACTCCTTGTCCTCTTGGGGCAGTGAGATTGAAGTTGTCAGGGAAGGACGAAGGGCCCCAGGACAAGAGCAACCGACAGAATGCAGGGGACTTATCTGGCACTCTTCTGCTCAAGAGGAAGGCCAGAGCCTGCCCAGTTCCGGAAGAAGAAAGCTCTTCACCATCAAGCCACAGTCAGGGATCTAAAGAAAATAAGAGTGACCCTGCCCTTGGTCCTACAGAGCTTTCCCCACCCAGCTTGTACCCCTCTGTGGATAAGCGACTATTGCCCAGAAAGATCAGGCTGAGTCGTTCAAAGCCATCACCTGATGTCTGTACATCCAAGCCTTCCAGCATTTTAAGTGGATCCAGCTCAGTGCCAGCAACCCCTGGCCGGCGTCTTTGGCGACAAAAGAGTATAAAGAAAGAAGTGCTAGAGGACAAGCACACACCAGGGAGAGCTAGTCCTCTACAAAGCACCTCAAGCCCATCTGGTCTTGGAAAAATGGGTGGGAGTAAGAAATGGAGCCCTGAAGTCAGGGCACCTAACCTAGACTCTGCAGAAGAGGGGCAGGTTGGGAGAGTGAAGCTTAGGAAGACTGTTAATGGGACCTGCTGGGAAGTGGTACAAGAACCTCCCCTCAAAACCTCTAAAGATAGCCCTCATGTCCCAGAACCTGGAGACTCAGAAGAGCCTCCCGGAATTCAGCCATCCTCAGTTAACCAGCAAGAAATGTCATCTACTAGAATAGACCTGTGTCAGGATTCCCCTGTGTCCTGTAAGCTACAAGACATTCTGCTCTCTGCTAGCCGCTCCCCAGACCACCCAGTAGTTAAGTCTGAGTTTGGATCCAGTCCAGAGCTGGTAGGGAAGGAACCTGGATTCGATATTGACTGCACAGAGCCATATGCATTTGACACAGCCCTTCTAGAACAGCCCTGTGAAGCTGAGGAGTACCGAATCACAAGTGTTGCTGCCACCAGTGAGCTGGAGGAGATCCTGGACTTCATGCTATGTGGCTCAGACATTGAGCCACCTACAGTATCTCTGGAGAGTCCTGAAGCTGAGGGATGCAGGACCCCTAGTTATCACTTGACAGAAACAGGGAAGAATTGGATCGAAGGGGAAGGATGGTATTTACCAGGCATGGAACTCTGGCCCAGAGAGCTAACTGGATTAGAAAAGGAACCTGTGGGTGAGAACAAAGAGCCAATTGAACCCTTTAGCCCCCTTGTCATGCCCTCTAAGATTAGTGAAGGGGAGATGCTTTCTGTAGGACACTCTTGGAATCAAGACCAAGAAATTACCAGTTCCATGTCACTGGATGGTCAGGGGGACAAACTTCTTCACATTGACTCCCTTGACCTTCCCCAGAGGTCCTATGGGGACCTCTTACCTCCCTGTTCTAACTGGGTACAGACAGGGCTAGAAGTATCCCTAACTATGGAAGAGGTGTTATACCCTGCCCCAGAACCAGGCAAGGAGGTACTTAGCAACTCTGAGCTGTTAGACCTACCTTCTGCCAGCTCTGAAGAGGAAGAGATTGATGTGGTAGACTGGATAGCAGAGGGGAAGCTAGTACCTACCAGTATTCCCTCCATATGGCCAGACCCTTCCTCAGAGTCAGAAACAGAGGTAGATATACTAACCTAGTGGATAGGGAAGGCAGTTTAGGGGCACTGGGAGGATGGGAAATGTTGGCTAGCAAAAGTGGTATTGGCAGAGAAGCTAGCACATGTCTGCCCTCTCAGCACGAGAGGAAGGCATTCCCCTTGTTCTCCTTAGGCCATGCTTTCCCCTCCCCAGGTTTTGGGAGCTGGGCAGAAATTTAGTACCATGGGTAGAAAATTATGAACTTGAACCTTCTTCGTTCCTTTTAATCTACTTTCCAGTTACAAATAAGTAGAATAATAAACTATGAGGTCTCCAACTCTAGTGGTTCATAGGTAACAGCCAAGGCCAGGTCTTCCAGGTTATGACACACAGAATTCAGGAAAAATTAAGAACATCCTCTGCAGTAGTTCTGTCAGAGAAAACGTTCCAGAAGGTGTGAAGCGGTGCTGGAGTGGAACACAAAAGTGTATGGGAGTGAGAGGACATTGTCCAGCACCTTATATGTGGGGCTTATTTATTCCCAGTTTGGAAAATCTAGCCAAAATCTCTGCAGGAGCCAGGAAGACCAAGAAATTACCAGTTCCAAGCCACTGGATGGTCAGGTCATCACTTCCAAGATAGTAGCTTTAAAAAAAGTTATTTTCCCCCAAGTTTTTACAAATATTTCACATGGTCTACCAGACACCCTAGGAGTTTCAAGTTAACTGGTGACTTTAGGCTATGAAAAATACAAAGGGGACCAATCCCATAAGGTTGGCTTTCATCCCTTACCATATAATTTTAACTTTATTAGTCAAGAACTTTATTTCAACTTTTATTAAACCAAATCCAAGAACTTTTCAATGCCTTACTAGAGTGTTGCCTCACAACTGAACCATCAATTCTGCAGGGGAAGAAACTATAGCTTCAGGCACATAACTGTAGTTTGGCCATGTCCCGTCATAAATGTTCCAACATCACCAGGAACAGAAAGCTGTGAGAATGAGAGAAAAAGATGTTAGGAAAGAGATCTAGGCAATCATATAGCCTGAGGAAGACATGTTCCTCTATCCTTGAACCCAAAGACTCAGGAGAGCTCAAGGATTGCATCCTCCTCTCCCATCTCAAAATATCAAGGTTATGAGGCACATACCTATGACATGTGAAAGCACTGTATGAACCACTAGATATGAAGACAAGGACAAATTTAAGTGACTAAGAGTACAGTAATGAAGTGTTGCCATATGGGACTATTAATAGAAAGACCCTATTAGGAACAAAAACAAGAGGGTTGGGGTAAGTATGCATGAAGTTACACAAAAATTGTTGCCAATAAAAGGGGGAATCACAACCCATACAAATAAACACGTGTCAGTGATTTTGTTGAACTCATAAATGAGGGTACTGGTAGGATTTACAATCCACTTCAAAGATTCAGTACACCACCAGGGGTGTGGAAAATGAAATTTTTTACAAAACCAGCCCATACCCTCAGGACAATATTTAACTGCACCTTCAAAGGACATAAATTGCATTTCTATAAATCATTTACAATTGCCTTTGAGCCAAGTCTTAGAACTTAGATTATGAAATAAAACCTGAAATTAGTAAAGGGCACACCAGATAGAAAACAG